TCTTGACTGTGGCGGTGGTTAAATGAATTTTCACATGTGACAGAAAATGACAATGAACTGTATACACATTGTACCAATGCCAAATTTCCTGGTTTAGATACTGTACTATAGTTTTGTAAATATATAACCATTGGAGAAAGCTGGGTGAAGGGTACTGGGACCTCTCTGTGCCTTTTTTGCAACTTCTTGTGAATCCATAATTATTTCAAAATATGGAATTGAAAACAGAGAGATTTGTTGAAAATATGCAGTGATCATACCATTCTCCCGTTTGAATTCCTTCAGTATTGACTGACTGCCTTGAGAATAAGATTCAGTTCCCTAGCACAGCAGAGTAGGTGGCAGTCCTCTGGCCCACTCTTGGGCAACAACAAACCACCTGGGATCAGCAGATACACCCAGCTACTGCACACTTTCAGGCCTCTGCCTAAGCTGTTCCATCTGCTTGAAATGACTTCCCTCTCCTTTTTGTTCTGCTGGTCAACCTTCATCCTCCTTCAAAATCTAGTTCAAGCACCTGCTTCTCTTACATGTTTCCCCCTACAGCCTTTCCCTTCAAACCGTGCAGGGCATGCCCCCATTTTTGCCACTTTCCCTGCATTCTTTTTAGATTGCATTGCAAGTCTACTTATGCTTCTACTCTGTAAGGACAGAAAATGTGTCCGATTTATGTCTCAATCCTCTACTGATTACACAGTGGGTGCCCAGTAAATGTTTGTTAAAGACAAAGCTAAATGGGAGAATACATGTGGTGGGGCAGCTGGGAGCAGTGGTTAAGATCAGGACATTGAATCCGACTCCCAGTGGGTCTGCTACTTATCTGGGTGATGTGGGGCAAGTGATTGCATTCATCTGTAAAATGGATAGGCAGGGAACCTGAGGGTACCCCTAGATAAGAAGTGCACAGTCCACTTAGGAAGGCATCTTGATGCTAGAATGCACCCTAAATCTGACCAAGCCTTGTCTAGATCCAATTATTTTCAGGAAATACAGAGGAAACACATTAAATTACACTGCAGAGATGCAATCAGTCAAATTCCAACTACAGAAATGCTATTGAACAACTCAATTGTGTCAACAAATAAACTACCAAGAAAACAAAGAAATAGATCTACGGATTAAGAGAAATTTAAAAGATGTATCAACCGATCAACAATGTATGGGCCATATCTAGCTCTACCTTCAAACGATTAATGAGACTTAAAATTCATAGGGCAACTGGAAATTTGAATACTTACCGGTTATTTGATGATATTAAGGAATTATTACTTTCCAGCTTTAAAAGAGTCAGTACCTTTAGAGACCTACCCAAGTGCAAGGTATAACTACTGTGTACCTACTGAGCACCCTAAGGTTGTGCCCATCTGTTTTACAGATGAGTGCAATCACTTGTTCCACATCACCCAGATAAGTAGCAGACCCACTGGGAGTCAGACTCAAAGTCCCGATCTTAACCACTGCTCCCAGCTGCCCTACCACATTTATTCTCCCATTTAGCTTTGTCTTTAATAAACATTTCCTGGGCACCCACTGTGTAATTAATACACTGAAAAATTAATGAATGAAATGACATGATATTTAGGGTTTGCTTGACAATAATTATGGGTCGTAGGTGTGCAAATGGATAAAATTAGAGATGAAACAAGATTGGACAGGAGTTAAAAACTGTTAAAACAGGACACTATTCTGTTTATTTTGTATATGTTTGAAAGTTCCCATAATAAAACAGTTAAAATAAAAAGAATGTTTAAACTAGTTCATATGATCAAGTACAAAGTATCAGGAATTAATTATTCTAAAGGCAAATTATGTAATAATGGCACCTTCCTAACCAAGTGTGAGGTACAACTACTATATGTATTTAGACCAAAAATAGTTGCCCTACCAGCAAATCAATAGTCTTAAGAAGAAAAAAATCTGGTCTCTGTTTTATCTTATGTCTCACGAAAACAACTGGTTTACTCACTATTAACTGATTTGTCTGGTCCTTTATTAAGAAAAAAGGACCAGACAAATCAGTTTAGTGAGTAAACCAATTAAAGAAAATTAAGAAGATTTTATTTTAAACAGACACATTCAAGTATTCCCTCTAATATTTATTTAGGGGACCAAATAAACATATTTCAATCTGTGAACAAATTAAAGTCCTGGCACCCTGAAAATTAAATTACCAGGAAAATCAAAGCTTTCCAGAGAAGACTATGCAAAAATAATAATATTTTTAATTCTGCAGGATCCATTTTAAGGAAAAAAGTTAACTGGAAGAAAACATTAAATAGACTGGTTGTCATTTTTCCACAAAAAGATAAAAGCCAGAAGAGAATACTCTGAGCTGAGAGACCCAGGAAAGAATGCTTATCTGGGGAGCGACCTGGGTTCTAATTCCACTCACCAGCTGCTTGCTTAGAAGCAGACTACTGAAACTCCTAAGCTTCCATTTCCACAGGGCTCCAGTAACAATGAAATAAGTACCTGGGCTCGTACCTGAGCAAACAGGACCTGGCTCCCCTGGCCTTAGGCTACCTTTGCTGCTCCTCACAGTTCCTCCCTCCCACACAGCCAGTCATGGAGGAGGACAATCCTGCAAACAAACTGAATGAATCTGTATTTGGCTTGACTCACAGCGTTTTTTTAAAAAAATTAATTAGCTATTGCCAACATTTAAAATGAGAACAAATATCAAGTGCTGCCTTCTTTTTTAGAGACAGGGTCTTGCTCTGTCACCCAGGCTGGAGCACAGTGGTGTGGTCATAGCTCACTGCAGGCCCAAAATCCTGGGCTTATGGGATCCTTCCACCTCAGCCATCCAAGTAGCTAGGACCACAGGTGCATGCCGTCACACCTAGCTAATTTTTAGAAAAATTTTTTGTAGAATCAGAGATCTCGCTATGTTGCCCAGGCTGATCTTGAACTCACGGCATCAAGTGACCCTCCCACGTCAGCCTCCCAAAGTGTCTGGGATTACAGGCATGAGCCATGGCACCCAGCCAAATTCCACCTTCTTCTAGAAAACTGCTGGATAAGGTTCCGGTTCTCTGGGGTCCCCATGACTGTGCCCTTACACCTGGCCCTGCAGACTGATTCTCAGCTCCACAGTGGGCTACAGTCCTTCCCTGGCCATGCTCTTTCACATCTCTGTGCCTCTCCCTGCCTAGCAAATTTCTCATCACCCTCAAGCACCCCCCCTACCACCTGTCATCTCTTCCACATTTCCATGGCATAGCCCCTGAACTATAGCAAGTGATGTACAGTCCTGGAACTAAGTGTCTGCATGCCTGCCTTCTCTACTGGGCTCCCAGGCTCTCTTGGGAATGGGACCATGTTGCTATCTGCCTTGTGTCCCTAGGGCCTGGCAGAAAGCATGACCTAGATAATGCAGAATTCAGTAAATGTCTACTGTATGTGTAGAAGAAAGCTAGAGCTAAACTATTATAAAATGTGTGATTTTTCACCACAGCTTGTTCCAACAGTTAGCAATTAAAGGGGTCAAGGACACCAAAATGTTTCACAAAATAGAACAAGCTTCCATCTGCTTACAAGTTTCACAAGTTAATCAAAAGTCACTAAATGAACAGATAAAGCAGAGACAACAGGGACGCTGGGCCACTTCTTTGACCATTCATTCATTCATTGAGCTGATACTACTGAATACTTACTGTGTGCTTTCTAAGCACTGGGTATAAAGCAGTGGATAAATCAGACAGCTATCTGTTTTCACAAAGTTACATCCTAGTGGGGGAGACAGAAAATAGACAGGCAAATAAATAGAATCGTTTCAAACCAGGTGAAAGCCAGGAATGAAAATTTTAAAATAATGAAATAGCATGACTAAGGGAAGAAAGAGGGTGGTCGAGGAGGGCCTCACCCAAAACAAGACATGTCACCAGAGGAAGAAGCAGAAAGCGCTACTTGTGCCAAGATCACTAAGAGAACTCCGAAGATGGCGAAACAGCGAATGCGAATGTCCTGGGGCAAATGTGGGCTGGCATGTTCAAGGCGAGCGAGATGAGTGGGATGCGGCTGGTCTTCTGGGGTAGGGGATGTGGGCTGGGTCCCCTCTGGCACTGCTGGACACTGAGTGTGCAATGACAAGGCAAGGGAGAAGTGCGCGGGAGGCCGGAGGCTGGACGGATGGGGAGGGGGTTCCTACCCCACTCACACAAGCAAGGGCCAGCACCCCACCCAATCTTCCACAAATGTACACCGGGGCCCTGCCCAGGCGTTTGCATACAGTCACAGAGCCTGACAACAACCGTGTCCAGAAGAGACATTTCCCCACCTTCCCGAAGGCAAAACAGCGGCAGAGGGAGGGCCAGTGCCTTAGCCAAGGTCGAGCGGTCGCGACCCCGAGCCCCTGGGCACCCGACGCAGAGAGCAGCTGCTAGCCCCACCACCGGGAGGGATGGCGTCCGCAGACCCCACGGGCAGGTTGGCCGGGCCAGGCCGGGGAGCAGGCCCGCAACCCAGGGCTGTTGACAGCAGGGCAGGAGGCGGAGACCGCGGCATCCCCGAGCACAGGGGCGACGGCCGCGGCTGCCAGGGCCCCGCAGCTCCAGGCCTGCCCCAAGCCCCGGCCGCGCGGCTCCCCGCCGCCCCTCCCAGAGGGCCCGGTCTGAGTAGCAACCGCCAGGCCTAGCCCGCCCGCCAGGCTCACCTCGCCTCCCCGCCGCCGCACCACGGGGAGAGCGCGGGCGGGCGGACTGGCGGCGCTGCGGGCTGGTCACTACAGGCTCCACGACTCCGGCTCCGCCGCCGCCGCCCCGCCCCGCTCCGCCCCGCCGCCGCCGCCGCCGCAGTAGGTGTGAGGGGCGCCGGGGCGCTGCGACCCTTCCGGTCCCGCTCCCTTTTCCTTAGCGGCCGCCGCCGCGGCGCCTGGTCTGACCGACCCTCGGGCCGACCAATCAGCGCGCGGAGAACGGAGCCGATGCGGCCAATGGCGCCCGGGGGGCGGGCCGCTGGAGGGCGGCGTGGGCGGAGCCGGGGGCCGGGGCCGGGGCCGGGGGCCAGACGCCAGACTAGAAGTCCCGGGCCGCGGTTCCGTGGGTTCCGCGTCCACCGGACTCTCAGCTGACCGGCCACGGTGTTCCTGTACGCGCCGAGCACGCGGTGAACTGTAGACGCAGGCACTGCGCGGCCCACCCGCTGAACCCTCGCTGTCTGGGTGAGGGGGCCGCGGCTCGGTGGAGGAGAAGGTGGTCCAGAGGACCGGGAATCAGGGTGGAGGCGCGCGGGGTTCACGCTGCGGGGTCCGCGGGGAGCCGGGCCTCGGGCTGCACGTGCAGGCTCGCGGCGGCTAGGCGGCCTGGAGTGGCCCAGGAGCCCGCCCGCTTCTGGGAGAGCCCCGGGCGAGCGCTGGGGGAGGCAGGCCTGGCGTCCGGGAAGCGGGGCGGGCCTCGGACTCGGCTGCTTGCTGCAGCGCGGCAGGGGTGTGGGTGAGGCCAGAAGTCGGGTTGTAGATGGGGAGGGGGTGCGAAGAGATGGCGGTAGACTGGTGACCCGGTGGGTCGGTGACGCAGGAGGAGAGTGCGCTTGGTGGTGGGGTGACTTAGTTGACAACATTTAAAAAGTGGGAGGTGCTCAGTCAAGCCTCTGAGAAGAGTAGGGGGCAGGGCGAGAAGTGTCTTGCTCAGGGTCCCCTAGGGACTGGGACCCTTTGACTCAGCTGCTTTTGAGGCCACATCAGGTACCAGCGGCCTGGGGCCGTACAGGATGGGAGAGGCCAAGGCTTGGGATGTTGCCAGATCGGCGCTGAAAAGTAAAGCAGGAAGCGAGGCACGGAGACTGGGCACATGGGGAAAACCGCGGAGAGCCGGACTTTGGGGACTGGAAGATGGGGACAGTGGTTGACAAATGGTGAGTGAGGGGGTAGAACAGCAGTCACACAATACCAGGATCCACGGAGTGGCCAGGACCAGCGTGGGGAGAAGGAACAAGACCCTGCAGATGGGGAGGGCCAGAGGCTGGGTGGCGTGAAAGGTGGTTGCAGAATTTTGGGAGGACAGCAAGCCTGTGACCCAGGTTCCAAGGGCACTGAGGGCTGGGCCAGGCCGCCTGGAGGCAGAGGGGTAGAGGAAGGGATCCAGCGTGGTGTCGCACCCCTAGCCACCAGAGGGAGTTTTCTAAATTTGAGCATGGCTCATTGCTGCTTGAAATTCTAGCTCTCGGTGTGGCCTGCATTGAGGAGGGCCCACATCTGTCTTTATCTCAGACCCACCTGCTACCTGCCCCAGGTGCATGAGAGAAAAGAGGAAACCAGAAATTGCCAGGATCAAGGATTATGGGAAAAGAGTAAAAGCCTAGCTGTCAGAGCTGAGGTTCTACCAAGGAGCACTCATGGGTACTTCTCATTAGGAAGGCGGCTGAGTGCAGTTGCTCATGCCTGTAATCCTAGCACTTTGGGAGGCCTAGGTGGGTGGATCACCTGATGTCAAGAGGTCAAGGTCAGCCTGGCCAGCATGGTGAAACCTTGTCTCTACTAAAAATACAAAAATTAGCTGAAGTGGTGGTGAGCGCCTGTAATCCCAGCTATTCGGGAGGCTGAGGCAGGAGAATCACTTGAACCCTGGAGATGGTGGTTGCAGTGAACCGAGATTGCTCCACTGCACTCCAGCCTGAGCAACAAAGCAAAAACTGTCTAAAAAAAAAACCGACAAAAAAACAGGGAACACCAATTCCCAGCACTCCAGGCCTTGCCTCATAGCATTCATGTCATGCCCAGTGAGTAACCAAAAATCAGTGTACACATGTACACACCTATGCATATCTCACACTAAGTTTTCTGTAAGGATTCTTTTCATTGCAGAGGGGGGCTTTAGAACAGCATCAAGCATCCTAGTTGAAACCTCCAAGTGAAAAGATCCTGCCACAGCATGCATTAACCAGGTGGAACATATAAATACATCTCGTCTGATCTGTCTTATGGTGGGGAGAAGCAATTGAGAAAGGCTTCCTGGGCAGAGGAAACTTGCTGAGGCTGCCAAGCGGGATGTGTTGGGCCTGTGACTTAGGCATAAAGGGCACTCGGGCCCAAATGTTCAGATGTGAGGACCTGCTTGCTGTGTTCAGGGAGCCAAAAATCACCTGGTCTTACTGAGGGAAAGGTTAGGGGCCTGGAGAGTTCTGAGGACCTTGAGGTAGATTGTATTGCCAACAGGTGGCATGTAGGCTGGTGTTAGCTCACTGATATGCCTTGTTTAGCCCAGAGAAGTTTTCTTTTTTTAATTGACTTAGTTGATTTAAAAAACATTTAAAAATTAGGAGGTGCTATTTTGAATTTATTCTCTGTGAAACTCATGTTCATACTCAATCTTCAATGGGGGAGTACTGAGAGGTAGGGCCTCTAAAGGTGGTTGGGATCAATCTGTTGATGGATTCATGGATTAAAGGGTTATCACTGGGTGGGTCTGGTGGCTTTATTAGAAGAGGAAGGGAGACCTGAGCCGGCATGTGAGCACGCTCAGCCCCCTCGCCATGTGACACCTGCACTGCCCTTAGGACTCTACGGAGTCCACACCGGCAAGAAGGCCCTCACCAGATGCACCCTCTCAACCTTGGACTTCTCAGCCCCCAGGGCTATAAGAAATTTCATTTTTAAAGTAAATTACCCAGTTTCATGTATTCTGTTATAAGCAACAGAAACAAACTAAGACAAGAGCACAGGGAGGGTGGAGGAGTCTGGGGTATCGGGGGCCTGTCCGAAGGCCAGCTGTGTGTGCAGCCACAGTTCCAATAGGTTTCTGTGGTTCTGATATGCCCCATCCTTGACTGGCCTGGGTTCCAATCCAACTCATTTGTCAGCTATGTTCCTCTGGGCAAGGGATTCACTTCTGCCTGCCTTGGTTCTGTGGGAAGTGGCATGGAGAAGAAAGGAAGTAGGAAGAGCTGGGTGCAGACCATGCAGCAGGGATGGTGTAGGTCCTTACGCTGACTGCCTCTGACACCTTGCCTGCCCTTCCCCTACTCCATTAACCCACAACTTCCTTTCTCCCCAACCCCTACAAGGACCCAGAGATGTGCTGAGGGGTGTAAGTCAGGGCGGTTCCAGCTGTGTATTGCAGAAAGCTAAACTGCACTTAAACCAATGGGGATGTTTATTGAGAGGTGCCTTTGACATCACACCTGGGGAAGGAAAGGGTAGAGCTAGCCTGGAAACCCTAGGGCCATGGAGGCCACTGCAGGCCCTAATGGAGTTTGAAAACCCACAACAATGGACTCTGATGGCCCCAGACAGGGCTTCCATCCTGAGACTAGTCAGCCATTCTGGGCAGTCAGGCTTATGTGAGGACGTGGCAGAGAAGGGCAGAATTTTTGGGAAAGGTGGAAGTCTGGAGGTTTTTTCTATGGTGATGATAAGAATGAGGGCATCTGAGCTGGGACACAGTTGAGGGTGTGGCTTTATGGAAATAGGGTTATTTGGGGGCTCTATAGCTGAACGAAGTGGCCCTTAGCCCTCCTCCTCTGGGAATCCCCAGAGCCATCAGCAGCTGGGCCCATTCTCTCAGACAGGGAGCCAGGAAGCTGTTCTCCAGAAGTCTGACCAGCCCTAAAGGGAAGATCTGAGATATGAACATTATGACACCCACGCCCCCCGCCAGATTTCCCAGCAGTGAATCTTGCATCAACCAGCCCTACCATGTGCTTAGAACTTCCAGTCAGCCCACTTTGAATCTGAACAGACAGCTCAATGTCATATGGCTAAGAAAAGTAAGACAAAAAAATGCATCTTGAAAAAAACAGACTCTGTGGAGAAGGAAATTTCAAAAAATAAAAATAAGACTATTTCTGGCTTCAGAGAGAATGAAAAAATATTATATCCTTAAAACAAGAACCAGCCATTTAAAAATTATTCAGCACAGGTGTATGCAATATGGCCTTGCTCTGTCAGCTGAGCTGGCCTAGAAGCAGTGACATCTTAGTAACAGCGAGCATACCCAGAGCCCAGATCTTGTTCTGTAATGTTTTTCACCATAAAAGGAACCAGGGATCGCTAGAGAAATGGCTGATTCTAGGGCTGGGGCAGGGTATGGACAAGACAAGCCTGGAGAATAGTGTGCACACGGGGGCGTGTAAACACACACACACACACACACACGGGGCTATATCAAAGAGACGAGTATATTGGAGCAACAAAGCATAGTAATGGATATGACTTAAAAAATAAATATGGTTCATACTAATATAAATAAATGAGAAAGAATAGACAAGTCTGTGCAGAAGAATTCCAAATAATTTGTGTAGATAGTCCTTTCTCAAGGAAGTGAAACATAACACCCTACCATTTAAGTGTGGGCCAAGCTTAAGGACTTCCTTCCAAAGAGTACAATATGGAGAAGGAAGAAAATAGAGGACCTTTACAGCAGAGAAACCTGGCTCACACCTTCTCAGCCAGGTGGTCAAGGCCACACACCAGTGATAAGATGTGGTTAATATTGCACCCATGATATGAAGGGATGAGAAGGGCACTTTCTTCTGTGATCTTCCTCCCCAAAAGCCATAACCCCAGTCTAGCCATGAGAAAAGCATTAACAAACCCAATTGAGGGACAGTCTACAAAGCACCCACCAGTAGTCTTCAAAGCTGTCAAGGTCATTAAAGACCAAGTCTGGGAAACTCTCACAGCCAAGAGGAAACTAGAGACATTAATGTATCTCAGAACAGAAAAAGGCCATTAGATAAGAACTGAGGGAATACAGGAAAAGTACAGACTTTAGGTAATTAAAAAAAATATATTCAATAGAGCAAAAAAAAAAAAAAAAAAAACCCTTAAAAATTAAATCATGTTGGAGCCAATGAAAAATCTTAGTAGCAGGTTTGGAGATAAAAATTGAAGAAATCTCAATTAGGGCAAAAAGACAACGAATGAACAATAGAACTAAGATAAGAAATTAGAGGCCAGTCTAGCAGCTTCACACTTGGAATAATAGACACTCCAGAGACAACAGAGAAACAGAGAAATCCACAACAAAGTAATTCAAGAACACTTCCTAGATCTGAAGGGCACAAGTTACCAAACTAAATCCACTCTAAATGAAAAGTGACTCTAGGCAACTTGTGGTACTTCAGAACACAGGAAACAAGGACACAAAAAGGTCACCTACAAAACAGACTTTGGACTCTAAATAGCAACACTGGGAACAAGACAATGAAGCAATAAAAATTAAAATTCTGCAGGCACACTTTTTTATGAGATCGAATTCTATGTTTAGCTAAACTGTCCAGTATAAATTAAAATAATTTCCACACTTGCAAATTCTCAAAAAACTTGTCTTCTGCTATGGCCTGAATGTTTGTGTATTCCCACGTTCATATGTTGCAATCCTAACCCACACCCCATGTGATTATTAGGAGGTGGGACCTTTGGGAGGTGATGAGGTTGTGAGGGTGAAGCCCTTATGATTGGGATTAGTACCCTTATCAAAGAGGCCCCAGAAGGCTTCCTTGCCCCTTCTGCCATGTGAGGACACAGCAAAAAGGCTGCTCTGTACAAACCAGGAAATGGGCCCTCGCCAAGAAGACTCCCTATCTGCCAGTGCCTTGATCTTGGACTTTGGAGTCTTGAGAACTGTGAGAAATAAGTGTCTGACTTTTATAAGGCACCAGGGCTGTTAGAGCAGCCTGAACTAAGCTGTCAAACACCTTTTCTCAAGAAGAATGTGCTTTACTGGAACAATAAAGGAAACTCAGAAGAAGGAAGACAGATACAGAAAGCAGGAGCCTAACACAGAAGACCTGGCCTGGGAGGCCCATGGAGGATGGTGAGAAGTGATTCTGGGGTGTCGGCTCTGCACCAGATGTGGAGGGTAACTGAGCCATACTGGGTAGTGCAGCCCATGGGGTGACCTGTCTTCACCAAGACCCCATTTCCATCAGGCCATCTTTAGCCTGAGGACAGAATGCCCAGGAGAGCCAGGCCTAGGTTCTCAGCAGTACTTGGCTTGGCCATGTGCTGATAAGGGGCTCTCCCCTCCTCTGCTGAGGATGCTCATCACTCACAGAAGTTTCCAACTTTCCCCCCACTGAGAGCTGGAGGCAGGCCATGGTGAGCTTAGAAGCAGGAAGTACAGGGCAGCCCCCTCCCTCTGACTCTGTTTCTGCTGCAGGTCCAGCACCTGGTCCCACCTTGGCCCTGCCAGGTGCCTGACGGTGCTGAGCCCTGTGTTTCTTGAGACTTCCTTGAGACTTTGCTCATGACTTCCCCAGGAGGGGCCTTGACAGCTCCCAGAGGAGCAGGAGTCAGACCATGCCCTGGGGACTGATCCGCTCACCTCCTAGAACCTCCGTCCAGTGGAGGCAGGGCCACCCTCTCCTTGCTCAGCCAGCATGCAGTTGCCCTCCACTTTCAAACTAGATAGGGTTTTGGGGATAGATACACAGGTGGAACTATAAAAAAGAAGCAAGCAAGGGAACAAATAGCACAAAAGTCAGAATGGCTATCACCTCTTGGGCATAAGGATGAAATATACTTTCTAGATCTTGTCCAGAGAAAAAATGTTCTGGCTAGTTTGTAATCTCCTAATCTTGGAAGTTGTATTGCTCATGGATTGATCAGAAGGACAGAAACCATTCTAGGCATTCCCCTGAGACTGACCCAGGGCCGGGAGGACAGAAGTCAGAAAAAGCCCTGAAGTGCCTGGTTCCTGCCAGCTCTCCAGAGTTGGGATTTTGGAGGAGCCCCAGGAAAACTCTGTTCATGGTCACCGCTGCCTGGGTTGCTGAGGTGGGTGCATTTTGGGGAGCACCCAAGGGCCATAGCAGAACCCCCTGTCTGCTAAAGCCTGTTTCTATCTGCTTCTGCCAGAGAGAAATGCAAAATATGATTTCTGCCATTCAACTATCTTCCAAGTCTCCCATGAGTGCCTCTCACTGATAGATAACCTGGAAATGTAGTTCCCAGGCTTCCAGACCCTGTGATAACAGGGGAGGGCATAGGAGGGGATGAAAATTTGCTGAGTAGCCCATAGGTAATCTTGAACAGGGTTTAATGAGATACTAGTGCTACACACATCAATTGTCATGAAGACATCATTCAGGGTGTGTGTGATAGCACTTATGTAGGGAACCTAAATTCCGACTTCACAAAACTTCAGAACTCTGGCTTTCAATTGTCCTGCCAGATTGTATTAATAAAACCAAGAACTATAATAGGTTTATTGGGAAAAAAAAATAAAAATTTGAGAGTTTTACCCCTCTATGCTGTCTACAGGCTCTGGCCAACCCCCTCCAGGTTTAGTGGCCCCTCTACTGAGTCCCAAATCTCCTGCATTTGTTATATCCTAGAAAACAGCCCTCACTTTCCTACTAGAAACCCACAGGTCTCAGGTGTGGAAGAGGCCAATGGCTACCAACAAACAGAGCTGCCCCTTCAAACACTGCTGAGCTCCTGCACAGTCCTCAAAATCCAGAGTACACAGAATGAGGGTAACAAAATGCAAACACACAAGACAAAAAAAATTGGTATGTTCTTTATTGTCCTAACATTGCATAGTACTTTGATTGTGCACGCTTTTAAACAGAGAGCAGAGTTGCCCACTTGAAACTACTCTCTTGCATGGGATATTTCAAGCTGTTTTACTATGGGCAAGAAGCAGGGACCAAAATGCTGCCTGGAATTAAAAAGAGCCATGATCAGATTAAACAGAAGTTGGAGAGTTGGAGAGATTTGGGCTACACACGAGAAGAAAATGTTGGAGGAGGCTGAGATTTCAACTGGACTTATAAGAGGCATAGGTGGATGGCTGGAGGGGCTTCATGGATGTCAGGGAACAGGATTCAGGGGCAGCCTAGAGAGGAAAGTAAAGGAGAGACAAGTCCAGAGGGCCAATGCCTTGTGCTCAAATCTGAGATGAATGCCACCTGCCAGGAGCAAGACTGGAGACAGCGCATGGGTAGCTGGGATGAACAGTTTGGCCATTACCATGGCTACAGAAAGCCACATACTAGAAAAATAACTTAAAAGCTATACAATCATCATTATAAATATTTTGTGTTTTAAAACTAACTCTAGTGTTGGTTATAAAAGGTTCACAGTTACTCTGAAGAGAGCTGTATCTCTATTGCACGATAGTGGAGAAGTCTGCTCTGATCCCCATGTGTAAACAATGATTCTCTTCTCCTCTGGCGACTTCAGGACACAGAAACAGTATCTGCTGTAAGCAAAAGCACTTGGGTAGAAGGCACGTGGAAACTGTCAAACTCTACAGGAACACACAGAACATGTTGGATGCCCACTTCTCTTCCCATGTAGCATCACTGCTGTTGGGACAGGTCTGGAATCAGATTAAAGGTGGTGATGGTCTTGTGACTGTCTCATCCTTATTCCACAGTTACAGACTTGGCCAGATTTCTGGGAAAGTCAACCTAAAACGTAAGAAAGTAGGTGTTTAGGACCCCACAGATCTCAGCAATATGCTACATCACAAGGACAATTTTCGGAGTACTTGAAAATAAGGAGACAGATGTTCCCCATGGTAACCTCCAACCAATCTGGAGACCTACTTCCTTAGTCCAGAAGCTTCATTTAACTGTGTAAGGTTTAGTCCCCCAATAAACATTTATTGTGCACCTGATGTCTGTCATGATTTGTTAACATGATTTAAAAAATATGGCTTATGCTTTTAAACACATGTAACTTGATGTGTACTATTAAAAATTCACTTTTCTTGTAAGAATTTACATGAATTCCATTGTGACTTGTTTAGGGTGGAGTGGGAAGGAAATGTGGGAATGGTGCATAGATAGGCTTCTACTGTATCTGCAAGGTCTTATTACATTTAGATATTTAAAAAGATGAAACATGACAACATATTAGCAAATATCAGCTCTGGATGATATGTACATATTCAGATATTCATTATATTCCTTGTATTGTTGTGTTCTTTTAAAAGCTTCTCAAAATAAAGTTGTAATGAAACTTCTATTTCTTTGCATTATGAACTGTGTGTTCTTACACACTTGCTGTGAGATCATAAATTGGTTCTTTGCCAGGCGCAGTAGCTCATACCTGTAATCCCAGCACTTCGGGAGGCTGAGGCCAGCAGATCATGAGGTCAAAAGATTGAAACCGTCCTGATCAACATGGTGAAACCCAGTCTCTATTAAAAATACAAAAATTAGCTGGGTGTGGTGGTGCTCGCCTGTAGTCCCAGCTACTTGGGAGGCTGAAGCAGGAGAATCGCTTGAACCTGGGAGACAGATGTTGCAATGAGCCGAGATTGTGCCACTGCACTCCAGCCTGGCAACAGAACGAAACTGTCTCAAATAAAAAAAAAAAATTGGTTCTTTTCTGGAACATAATTTGGCAATACATGTTAGGAATCCAAAATGTTAGATCATTTGTTAGACTAAGGACAAATCTTAAATGTGGGGCGACATTGTAACAATGTCGTATGTACAAAGATGTTTGCTGCTGTGTTATTTATGAAGACAAAAAATTGAGAACAGTTTAAATAGTAGAAGATTGGCTAAGTAACCATTAAGAAAATCATGTTATAAGATTGTGATGGAATATTATGCAAAAATTTTTTTGTAGAGATGGGGTCTTGCTATGTTGCCCAGATTGGTCTCAAACTCCTGGCCTCAAGCAATGCTTCCATCTTGATCTCCCAAAGTGCTAGGATTACAGGCTTGAGCCACATCACCTAGCCAGGTTGTAATTTAATGTCATAATCTTCTCCATACATTTTGCAGTTTCCAGCTTGTTTTTTTGGAGGGGGCAGGGGTGGTTTAAGCTACTTTAAATGAAATTATTTCTCCTGTGACTATTTACTCCAAGTATTTAAAGAACACAAAGGAACTTTGGGGTTATGTCTCTCCCCTCTGCTGGTAGGTGCAGTTTTTAGACATACGTCATATCCTCGGAGAACAGCCAGGTGGAAGGACAGAAGCTGCAGTGGAATCACGCTCAGGATGCCCTGAAGGCAGTCCACAGTGTGGGGCAGCTCAATCATCTTATACGCAAACTTGGAACTTTCAGTATCGTCCTTGGAGCACAATATGATGGGGCGACCCTAGAGTAGAGAAATAGGATCATAAAATAGATCATCTCTGAAAGACGCAATCCCTGACGCACGCGGCATATCTGGAAGCTACATTACTGTGATGAGAACAGTCCTCTTTTGTATTTGCTGGATCATAGGTGAGGTGGTATGTGTGGGACACAAATGCTTGGAAAGGACAAAGTGTCTGATGCTTTTTGGTGTGTTTCTGCCCTTTCCCTGGTAAGGACATCGCCATCCTGCTGCATCATTTGGCACCCATTTGTACCTTGCCGAGAGTAGGGCAGACTCACTCCTAACTCTAGTGGGGCTCATAGTCTAGTGGTGGAAAACAAAAACCTAGACAAGCAAACCAATAAATAAAGATGAATTCCAAAGAAATGCCACCAAGGCAAGAAAACAGGATAATCACATACTGTGATTGAGAGACTGGTGAGGTCTCTGAAGCTCTCTCAAAACAAGAGTCATCTGAATTGAGCCCTACATGATGAGGGGCCAACTCAGCAAAGCATTCTGTGGGAAGGGCATCCCAGACAGCAGGAACAGCCAGCGCAAAGGCCTGGAGGCAGGCTTGCGCACAGCACGAGTGGGAAACAAAGAAAGCTTGAGTGCCTGGAACTCTGAAACGAGGAAAGGGCCAGATGACGCAGGCCTGTGGGCCTCTGTGGCTTGACACAGGCCTGTGGGAGGGTTTTCAGTGAGGAAATAATGCAACTGTGATTTATACCCTCAGTCTGACCACGGTACTGAGCTAGGTGTGGCAGCATCTGGATGGGGCACCTTGTTGGATTTCAACCTTCCTGAAACTTCATGAACACTGCCCTCCCACCTCAGGGCGGCTGCTGTGTACAAAGCATCTGGTTGGTCTTTGTGGCTGGTTTCAGGGAGGGAGCTCCTAGCCTCTGGACTTTCCCATGTGATAGACACATCTTTGTTATCTATGAAGGATCCCTTGGACTATACCTGACTTTATGCTCAGGAGGTACTCATGTTGTGCCTGCATAGTTCCAGGATGGGGTCTCACCCTGCCAGAAAGGCCAGCCACATGATTAGAGGGTTACGGCTTTGAGACACGAGCCAGTCAGCCTGACCTCCCAACCTCCAAGGACAAAAGTGGGGCTGGTCACTGAATTCAATCATATGGCCAGTGGTTCACTCCATCCTGCCACTTAATAAAACCTCAATACAAACTCTGGACACTGAAGCTAGCAGCTCACGGGAGCTTCCTGGTGATACACAGTGATGTGCGGGAGAGTGACACATCCTAAGGACACAAGCTTCACATTTGGGGCCCTCACACTATGGGTTCCTTTTTCTGGGTTGCCTGTGATTTTTGTCTTTTATAATAAAACTGTAATAGTATAGTGATTTCCTGAGTTTTATGAGTTGTTCTAGAAAATTACTGAACTTGAGGGAAGAGTGGGAATCCTTCAATTCATAGTCAGTTGCTCAGATGTGTGGGTGGACCCATGGCTTGCAGCAGATGCCTGAAGCGAGGGCAGTCTTGTGTAAAGCTGTGCCCCTGCCCTGTGAGATCTGACCTAACTCCAGGTAGTTCACATCACAGCTGCTTGGCCACAGAACCTGGGGAAACCCTGCCCCAGGGATCTCCACCAGGAGTACCTCCCCTGAGCTCCAGGCTAGGATCTGGCACTGCTCATGGCAGTTTGGGTTCCTGGGCCCTGCCAAAGAGCCGTGTGGGACAGCTGCAGGCTGACCAATTCCTTTCCAAGTGCATGTACCCCTCACAAGGGGGCCCAGGGGAGAGTGTGTGGTCACAGCTACTCACTGGCCAGACCATCCATCCATCGCTGGTACTGGCAGACAGTGGTGAGGTGGGCATGCATAGAGAAAAGGAGGAGATGGCCCAGTCCAATAGAGAGTCCTCACCTGGCGGGCCGTGACCTGCTGCAGGGCATTCTGGCATTTGGCAAAGCAAGGATCCTTCATGATGACCATGATGACAGGCATCTGCTTGTCAATCAGTGCCAGGGGCCCGTGCTTCAGCTCCCCAGCCAGGATGCCTTCTGAGTGCATGTAGGTTATCTCTTTAATTTTCTGGGAAAACAGGAGGTGAGATCAGAGTCACACTAGGCAGGTGGGGCTGGAGCAGATAAGCAGGAGGGGAAGAAGGGGAACCAGGAGAAGGATGATTCTGGAAGGCAGAGAGCCAAGGGTCACAAGGCAGACAGATGCCTGGAGTGGTTGACAGCACTGAGGACACCAGCAAGGGCCTGGGGAGAGGCCTGGCTACTGTCCAGGGCATGTACCAGCCCAGGACACAAAGTCTGTGTCCCCACACCAGCCCTGGGCACTGCTGCTCTCTCTCTTGTCCCACGCACAGCCACCCCTTAGGACAGATAAGTGGGAGTCAGCCTAGCTTGCCCTCTTCTCCCTAGCCAGCCACATTTATGATGACAGCATTGTTTTCTGCTTAGCTATACCTTCAGTTAATTATTTGATTAAGCATTCGCCCATTAATAACTTCTGAAGGGTAATTCCAAGCAAAATTGCACAAACTGGGATGTTAATTGAATTTTTTCCTATGTTTTCACTGAGGTCAGGTAGACCCATCTCTATTCAGTTACCACAAATTCACATCATTGAAATGGTGAGACGGTCAAAGAAATCATCTCTTGACTCTCCTAACACTGGTGATCTGGGTCAGGGCAACACTATGAGGAGAGTGGCTCCACTCTGGAGGCTGTAGACAGCTGGAGTGCCAGCATCCCAGTGACCACAGAGGGCCGTTGGCTCGTGCCAGCAGCCACCTGAACACTTTTTTCTTCTCCAGACTCATGTGGTGGCTCAGTTGAATGTGCATCTTTCGCCAGCACATTCAGCTACCGCAGCTGAGCCCCCCACCCATCAGGCAGAGTCATCTGGGGGCTCACAGTGCACCCCCAGGCCTTGCCTCTACTGCATCCCCAGAAGCAGCACCTACCTGTCCTTGGCTTCCTTTAACAGGAGTCAGAACCTCCAGGGGACAGATGCAGGAGATGGAGCTCACTGAGGTCAGGCCTGTGCTCCCCAGCAAGACTAGGGAAACCAACTCTGCTTCTGGTAACCAGTTGCAACTGGCATTGTCTTTTTCTTTTCTTTTTTTTTTTTTTGAGATGGGAGTCTCGCTCTGCTGCCCAGTCTGGAGTGTAATGGTGCCATCTTGGTTCACTGCAACCTCCCCCTCATAGGTTCAAGTGATTCTCCTGCCTCAGCCTCCCAACTAGCTGGGATTACAGGCATGCACCACCATGCCTGGCTAATTTTTGTATTTTTAGTAGAAATGGGCTATCACCATGTTGTCCAGACTGGTCTTGAACTCCTAACCTCAAGCGATCCGACTGCCTTGGCCTCCCAAAGTGCTTGGATTACAGGTGCAGGCTACTGCACCAGCCTAGCATTATCTTTCAAATGGGGGTAGTGGAGAGGAGATGGGAGAGGATGGCAGCCCAACTGGGCCATGGTTAATGCCCTGGTCTTGGTGGCCAGTGTGGCCTTACCTGGAGCACTGTCCCTGTTACCTGGGCTGAGCATGTGCTCCATGCATGGCACGCTGACAGTGGGGAGAGGGCAAGCCCTAGACACAGGTCCCTGCATGGCTCTCTGTCCCTGCACCATCAGCTTTCTCTTTGCTGGTGTGGATCTTTATTACTGCAGGGGGCAAACGGCCTTTCACCAATTTTTGAAAATGCAGGGCCTTCAAAGTTCATTCCTTCAGGATCTCAAACTCCCCTTGGAAGTCTGAGGGGTAACAAGGAAAACTCTGCGGAGAACCTACCCTGCAATTTTGGTGGTGGTCGAAAAAAGCAAAGGCCACATGGACTCGGGTCCCCAAGGACTCAGGTCTGATTCAGGTCCTCTATGTCATCTTGAGTGAGATACTTAAGCTTTTGGAGGCTTTGTTTCCTCCTGGATGAGAGGTCAATAGCATCTGCCAACCTCTCAGAAGAAGCTCATGAGGTCTGAGTGAGCTGTTCCAAGTGGACCCTGGCAGTGGCTGGACAGCTAGAGGGGCACACCCTAGGTGACCCATCCCTTTCTCTTCAGTAGATTGGGAGCTCCCTGGGAGTGTGCAACTGCCATGTCACCCATCTCTGTGTGCCCAGGGCTAGAAATCTGGTGGAGAGCTGGTACTTAGGGCAGGCTCACAGGGGTGGCCAAGGGGTCCTTAGGCCTGGCTCTCCCCAAGCCCAATGCCCTGCCCTCCTTCCCGCTGGTTCCTCCGGGTCTCCTGTGCCTGTCCTCCGTGGAGGTGAGGGCTGGGTGTGGCGGCTCACCAGGGCTCCTTCCAGGCAGGTGGCGTAGTTGTAGCCCCGCCCCATCACCAGCAGTGACCTCTGCGTGTAGAGCTCCAGAGCTAAGTCATGGATCTTCTCATCCAGTGACAGCACTTCCTTGATCAGCTCTGAGCCATGTACAGAGGAGAAGGAGAAAGCCCGTCATTTCAATTTTAAAGCAGTATTCATGAAGACAAATGCTGGGGTTTAAGAGGAGGTTTTGAAACTCACATCACTTAGTACACGTTGCTTCTTTGCATTCGTTTAAAACATAGATTATAGGAAATAATGTGGGCTCCTGGCCAGGACTTTGTTAGGGTGGGGATTCATATTGTGTGAATACTTTTTTTGAGCACCAAGAAGGTAAGTGGGGAAGCATCACTTCTCACTCCATTTTGCAGGCAAGGCAACTGAGACTCAGAGAGGTGAAAGCACCCTCTGAAGACGGAGCTGACATCACCAGTTAGCACCCCTTTCCTGCTGTGTCTCAAGACAAGGCCCCTGTAAGTGGGACCGCCGGTTCTCAAATTGTTTGGTCTCAGGACTCCTTTATGCTTTTGAAAATTATTGCAAATCCCTCAAATTATTGCACATCCATAAAAGCCTTTTTTTTTTTTTTTATTTTTTTTTTTTTTTTTTTAGAGACAGGGTCTCGCTATGTTGCCCAGGCTGGAGTGCAGTGGCTATTCACAGGCGCGATCCCACTACTGATCAGCACGGGAGTTTTGACCTGCTCCGTTTCCGACCTGGGCCGGTTCACCCCTCCTTGGGCAACCTGGTGGTCCCCCGCTCCCGGGAGGTCACCATATTGATGCCGAACTTAGTGCGGACACCCAATCGGCATAGCGCACTACAGCCCAGAACTCCTGGACTCGAGATCCTCCAGCCTCAGCCTCCCGAATAGCTGGGACTACAGACACGCGCCACCGCGCCCGGCAAGCCTTTGTTTTTGAGTTAAATCTGCCAACATTTACCAGATCAGAAAATAACACTGGGAAATTTAAAAATATTAATTCACTTTAAAATAACAACACTAAATCTATTACATATTACTACAGTTTCAAAAAGAATTAGAAGAGTGGCACTGTTTTTTGTTCTTGCAAATCTTTTTATGTCTGCCTTTTTTTTTTTTTTGAGACAAAGTCTCACTCTGTCAACCAGGCTGGAGTGCAGTGGCATGATCTCAGCTCACTGAAACCTCCTTCTCCCAGTTTCAGGTGATTCTCCTGCCTCAGCCTCCTGAGTAGCCGGGACAGGTGCGCGCCACCATGCCTGGCTAATTTTTTGTATTTTTAGTAGAGATGGGGGTTTCACCATGTTAGCCAGGATGGTCTCAATCTCCTGACCTCATGATCCACCTGCCTCAGCCTCCCAAAGTGCTGGGGTTACAGGGGTGAGCCACTGTGCCTGGCCATCAAGGCCATTCATAAGCAAAACTGGGTGTGTGGTAGTGAAGGACACAATGACCAGTAGGCCTTCTAATGTGCTGGGAGCCAGGCACAGCCACCACTGCCTTTGCAAATGTAGACACAGGCAAAAAAAAAAAAAAAAAACTATAAAAATGTATTACTATGTGAACAGTTTTGCTGAAAAGGGCCTTGTAGACACCCAGGACCTGCGGACCACATCTTGAGAATCACTGACTTAGACGTCAAAATTGGGTCCTGTTTTGCATAATTATGTCCTGGCTTAAAGGAAGAATGCCTTTTCTCAGAAATAAACCTACAGCATGCTGTCCTGGCCAGTGTCAGAGGGCCTGGAATTGACCACTCTCTATGGTGGCCTTTCCCCCATGCCTCCTCTGAGGTTTGGCCCTGATTCCCAGGGAGGCGCTAGCTCCCACTGTCTCTGGGAGAGCATCCCCCAGAAGCCCCGTGATGCCTTGCCCCCCGTGAGCGCTCCATGCCAGCCTAAAGCAAGGCTGGCTCATCTCCCCCTCTCAGAGCTGCACACAGAGGTCTCTCTCCTACTCTGGCATGCGAGTGGCTGAAAGAGATGAGCCGCTGCTTATCTTGGCAGGCCAGGGATGGCATACGGAGCAGGGCATGGTGCTGGTTCTTAATATATACGTGGTGGATGAATGAAAGAAGG